AGTGGTTTACCCAGTGTGAGCCCCGTTGCAAAGCAGATTTTCGGTGGTTTTTCCTGAGTGCAGTCGCAGACAGAGGCCCAGATATCCGGCCAAAGCCGAGAGCCAACAATGTCGTGAAAAACGAGGCATCCACAGCATCAGCACCAGCTTCAGCTCCAGCTCCAGCCACATCTACATCCAAGAGGAAAAGCAAGAGCAAAAGCAAGAGCAAGAGCAACAGCAGTAGCAAGTTGGGGAAAAACAACGAGAACAGGAGGAAAAACGCCGCCAGTTGGCGACTCTCGCGCGGCATTGAAATTGATGATGTGCTGCTGGCGCTACTGTATACTGTATAGTTTTTATGGCTTTCACTTTTTGCGCTCCATGTTGCCGGCTAGACAAGCAAAAACTTCCCTTTTCACCATCCGAATCCACAGCCACATCCACATCCACACCCACATCCATTCCCATTCCAAATTTGGGGTAGGAAGGCGCCAGAGCGTGATGTCGTCGTCGGAGATTCCTTCCTTGCTCGTCGTCTGCTTGTTTTTGGAGTCTGTGTTTGTGTTGCCTTAGTGTGCCGGTTGCACTTGATCCCCCTAAAGTGAAATTAGGAAAAATTTCAATTAAAAAGCATTTAAGTAATCCACAGTTAATGCCAGCAGTGCAAAGCTTTCACTCAACCCGCTTTTCTTTTTCTATTGGGGGGTGTTGTCTTTTTTTTTGGGGGTGTATCCTGTCTCCGATTTTCAGTTACCAGTTAGCAGTCTCCTGTCTCGGTTGCAATTGATTGCTCCACAGCAAAGTGCTTTCCCACTGCTTGGTGGGGATGGGTTGGGTTGCATCCTCGGAAGATCTGGGGAAAAGTCCACTGACACTCGAAATCCTTAGCAGGTCAGTGCAATTTTCCGAGAATTTGCTAATGAAGCGAGCGTTTTACTTTTCGGATGGTGGACGGTGGATGGAGCCGTGTTGACAGCTCTTGCTGGAAAGTTAATTGAATTGTAAATTGGACGGGAGACAGCCAAAGCAGCAGCAGCAGCTGAAACTGAGGCTAATTGAGGGGCATCGCATTCAGATCCCCGGAGCGATGCCATAAGTATCGGTATAAGTATGTTATCTGCGAGCAATCTGCGAATGATTTGTCGTTAATTTGCATCTATTAGGGATCGGATTAATCAGCGTTTAAATCTTGCTGTGCTGATGACACTTTAAGTGGATGTGAAAACAGAATTGACACTCTCTCCATTCCTACACGGTGAGAAATACAGTTGCTAATTCAGTTAAGAAGGTAAGATATGCAATGTTATATTGCAATACATTAATTGTGAAATGAAGTGTTTATTATTACTAGTTCCATGTTAAATACAGTTTTACTCAAGCACCATAGCAGATAGTTAGCAGATTTCAAATATGTTCTAACGCTATTTTCCATAGCCCTCGGCCAGTTTACCACTAACATCCAGATAGACATCGGTGGTTCCTGGTTGGTGCCCTTCTTGCTCCGTGCTCCGCCCGCAGGGCAATTGAAAACTCGCACCGCTTTCCGCTCGAAATTGAAATCCCAGCGTAAGTGAGTTCCCTCGACGAGCATAAAAATTGGCCAGGAAGGAGTGGAGAAGCCGGAGGAACGGGCTAAGGAGTGTGGGGTGTGGGCCAGGCCAAAATGCAAACACAAACATATCATGGGCCGACAAGTGCAGCGGGCTCACAGCGAGGCAGTCGCATTAGAAATGCAACAAATCACTGGGAAGTGTGGTGCCAGCGGAGAAGGTGGTGCAGTTGAGCAGTCGCCCAGTCGAGCAGTGGTTTCCATTGGCCAGGGCAAAAGCAAAGGCCAGAGGAAGAGCAAGAGCCACTGCAACCAGAACCACGGACAAAACCAGACATACGAGTACGCACTTTGGGTGCAACCGACAATTGCGACCGTCTGCATCACTTTGCCGCCAGCGTTTTCTTTACCCTCACTGAAGGTATTACTAATCTTATATACAAATAATATTCTAATAAAAAATAATTAATTATTATATTTAAAATATATTTATACAATAAATAATACGCTTTACTGAATAATTGTAATTAGTTGTTCTTAAAATTACAACTATTACTATATTGAAAGAAAAGGGTTCCTAAATCTGTAGCTACAATACTTCCAACCAAAGTAAGTCTGCTGGCTTGTTAACTATACTAAACAGATATATAAAATACTTTTTATATATTTTTAACTATTTTATAAATAGGGTATATAAACTTCAGCTTAGAAAACCCACTCAGTTAGCTCGTTTTTCTCGCATCTTTGCATCTTTGTGCGCTGCTTTCCTTCCTGCAATAAGTCAGCGGGCAGCAAACAAAGCCACGCTACAAATTGTATCTAGTTACAATTTGCAAACTACAAACAGACCTCTGGGATGAGGAGGAGGAGGTGGAGGTGGGGCAATCGGCGGGATGTGCGTGTTGAAGCGCAGTTTTTATTTGCACTGCAGTGGCGGCTACTTTGTTGCTTTTGCTTTTGCTGGATTCTGTTCTGGTTCTGGTTCTGGTTACAAAAAATCAGAAGCAGTCAACAGATTGGCCAGTCCTCCTTGGCGGAGTGGCGAAGTGCTTCCTGGGCCGCACTCCGCCGGATCTCCAGTCCAAACACGAGTCCAACTTGGCCATTGCCAGGGACACGTTCTTGACAAACAGCAAGCAAATTGCCTTGGCAGTTGCAGTTGGTTAAGACCAGGTCCGAGCAATTCCCCAAACAGCCTTGCCAAATTGGCCGCTGACTGACTGACTGACTGCCTGCTTGCATTCTGGCTTCTCAGTTCTCAGTTCGCAGTTCTCGGTTGTGGTAACTGGGAACTCGGATCTGTGGATTTGTGGAATCCCGGGATCCGGCAAATCTAATGCGCTTGTTAACGCCAATCGCCTGTGTTGCCTGTTGGCTGTTAAAGTTGGCTATAAAGGCCCGCTGGCAATTTGGCCAACGGTAGCGTTTAATGTCCAATTCGTTTCGCTGCTCCAATAGCTGCTGGCCAAGTGGAAAATCAACTTGTCGCCAGCTCCATTGCCGGCGAAATTTCAATTAAAGTTCCCCGCTCAACTTGGGCATCGCATCATAAGTCAGCAGAACAAGTCAGTTGGATCGCTGAGGAGCTGCAGCGGCGGCCTTAAAGCCAAAAATCAAGCCAACAAAAGCTGTCAAAGGCAGCGCTCAGCGAGACGCACTTAAGCAGCAGACAGATCCTAGCCAGCCCCAAAATTGTTAATGGGACCTGCCTGCCTTCTCGACCCGTCATCCCAGTCAGTTTTGGCCAGCCAACTAAAGAGAACTGAACTGTGCGAGAGTACACTCAGGAAAAAGGGGATTTGCATGTGAAAACATATTTGTTTGCCATGTAATGTTACCCGCTTTATGGAACATAGATCATTAGCTTATGGTAAACAGTAGCCTTCGAGCACTTTGTTACTTATTTCGAGTCTATTAATTAATTTATGTTAGCGGACTTTAAGTGTTTATTCGTACTTTACATGCTTTTAATTTAGTAGTCTGTCAGCTGCGCCATAAAAATACTTTAAGAGCCATCGTTGTAATTAAATTCCTTTGCTTTATGCTTATGTTGAAGCAAACAAGAGAACATTGAAAAGCTTTGAGTAATCTGGATAGCTGGTTCTAAAAATAGATGTATTTAAAACACAATGATTAAGTCAGATGTTAAAATAACGAAGTTGTAATTAAAAAAGAATCAATAGTTTGATGGGCTTTCAGAGAAATTTAAAGCAGTTAAAAATCCATTAAAATTAGAGGAGAGATTAAATCTCCGGGAAGTGTGAATAAGTTAGTCGTTAAGCGGTTTACCTTATTATTATTCCAACTTAAGATATGTATTTTCCCAGTGCAATTCCGTCTTGTTTGGCTTTTGAGGCGCGTCAGACTGTGAACATGAAAAAGCCAAAATTTAAGCATTAAATGTAAGTTGCTCAGACAAGAGGGAAGCGCACACGCACATTTATATATATAGATGCAGTTCGGGAATATATATATAAGCGATGGGTATATAGATGGAGACTGGCAGATATGGCCTGGCCCAAAATGAAGCAGTTGAAAAATTGCCGCCAGTCATTTGGCGCGAAATTCAATTCCCGCCTGCGATGACATGAAAACCACCTCGAAAAGAGAACCTCAACCACCGAAAAACCGAAACACCGAACCATCGCGACTGCAATCCAGATGATGATGATGATGATGTTGGCTGGCTCCTATCGAAACCGTTTACGGCAGGGCTAAAATATGAATGATTCCCCTTTCCGTGCGTAGATATATGTGCGGCCAACACGGCGTATGCGCAATGTGCGTGCAGTGAAAACGTGACTGTCGCCCGACTCGCCGTCGTTTTCTGGCCGGGATTCGAGGGGGAATTGGGGGATGCGGGGCACCCCGGACTCAGCTGGCAATGTCCCGGGCCCTTTGGCAAATATTTATGCTTTACATTTCGTTCGGCACATTGTTTGAATTTATTTGCTGCCTCCCATTGTCGATGTGTTGTTGCGATTTTGTTTGCGAGTGCGATGATTATTGTTGCTGCGCTATCTGTTTTCTGCTTCTTTTTGGCTGGTTTGGTGTTCGGGTGGACTCATATTTGGATGGGTGCTTTTTGGTGTTTGCGGGTGAATCCGGCCAGACGTGCTCATGTGGCATTGGAGGATTGAGTGAGACAGCTCACTCCCGAACGGAGCGGCAATGGCGGTTTGGGCAGGCGATTTGCCACAGACAGAGTGACCTCTTTTATTTATCGTTTCTATTTCCTAAAGCCGTACGCACTTGGTCGAGTGGCTGCTGGCTTTAATGCGGCAATAATCTGGATGGACAGTTTGTTCCCACACCTCGTTATAAATACGATTTAGTGCCTTCTTCAGCTCTTAAATTTTGTCTGATAGAGCTTGAAAATATTTAAGTATTTAAATAGGTTAATATTCAGATAAAAACACTTATGAATAAAAACCTTTTTTTAAGTAGTCTAAGTTAATTAATTAAAACATATATTGCAAAATATATTTATTCAAGAGTCCCAATGATTAAGTGAACCTAATTGGAGCATAAAAAATTATTTCGCGTAGGTCATTGTCACTAATTGAAATTACATAGTTGGCATGATGTGTAAAAAAGCTATAGTAAAGATATAAGTAACGCATGTCAAAGATGATAATTGAAAACGGAATTCCGAATCATTGGAAATATTTGCAGTCATCGCTGGTGGGATTAACCACTGACTATTGAATAAATTTTATGAAAGAGGATTTTGCATGGCTGCAATGTTATTTTTTGTATTTATCAGGGGCGCAGTAAAGACGATTTGCGAAATATGCAATAACTCAATACTTATTTCCCAGAATTGAATTTAACCTTGATAAACTCCTGCAGAGCATTTGTAAACTGGCATTCAAATTCTGTATTGAAACTTTTGCTCGAATCGGTTCTGTTTGCTCGATGCCTGTTCCGAATATAATCATCTTTTCGCTCTTTTTGCGAACTGTCAACTGCTGTCTGCACACATATTTGTCGAGTCCACAGAGCCCATCCGTTGACTTTAACGAGACAATCCCAGTGTAAATGGTGTTTACCCGACTCGTTCGCTGATAGCGGGCATCGTTAGCGCTGAAAAATTAATGTAAATTTAATTAACTGTGCAGGCTCGATAAAGGATACAGGTTGTAGGATAAGGGACGGGGGATCCCATAGAATAATGACTTACAGGATAATCACTGACGGTAGAGAGTTATTTTCGTGCATAAGCAGGGTCGGATGCAGAACGGTCACTCTGGACGACCCCCCTTCGTCCGTCCCTGTACCTAACAGCCGCTGCTGCGCATTCACCTACTTCGAAGTTTTGTTTGCCTGGTATTTGGGATCCCAAGAACAGCTGATTTTGCTTCGCAAATTGATTTTAGACACCAGGCCAACATAATTCGTAGCAGGTTGCAGCTTGTAAATCTGAATTTACAAATAACTGTTCTTTTTTTAAGTAACTGCACTTGGCTAGTTTCCCCTCACTGATCCACCAATCAGAACGTTATCTCGCTGGAAGGTACCGTTTCTTCAATGGAAGCATCAGGCCTGAGATGCGAAAGCACGCTGTTTCTTTGTGCGTGTCACGAAAGTGGCACGCCGCTCACGAGTAATTAATAAATTTCCATGTGGTTGTTGTTGGCGTGACAAGAATAACTTGTCACGCGCTCATCACTGAACAAGCCAAGTTTAAGGTGATCAGCTGATCGATTTTCACCTGCTAAGCTGTTATGTTCGCCTGGTGTTTGTAAATCAATTTGACACAATTTGCCTGCGGAAAGTCTTCTTCTTTCCGTACATAAGAGCGCTGCTGCGCATTCACCTACTTCGAAGTTTTGTTTGCCTGGTATTTGGGATCCCAAGAACAGCCGATTTTGCTTCGCAAATTGATTTTAGACACCAGGCCAACATAATTCATAGCAGGTTGCAGCTGGTAAATCTGAATTTCCTTAAATAACTGTTCTTTTTTAAGTAATTGCACTTGGCTTGTTTCCCCTCACTGATCCACCAATCAGAAAGTTATCTCGCTGGAAGGTACCGTTTCTTTAAAGGAAGCTTCAGACCAGAGATGCGAAACCACGCTGTTTCTTTGTGCGTGTCACGAAAGTGGCACGCCGCTCACGAGAAATTAATAAATTTAAATGTGGTTGTTGTTGGCGTGACAAGAATAACTTGTCACGCGCTCATCACTCAACAAGCTTAGTTTAAGCTGATCAGCTGATCGATTTTCACTTTCTAAGCGGTTCTGTTTGCCTAGTGCTTTCAGTTTTGTTCGTCACAATTTAAAAATTTTGGGGAATCCGATTAAACAATTTTTTAATTGGGGGTCCGATCGAAAAATTTTTTTAGTTTATATGGTTGAAAAGGGGGTTTTTATAGGGGGTTTCGAAAAAGTCTGAGATTTCGGAGGGGGTGCGGATACCCTGGACACCCCCTGCGTTCGTCCCTGGGGCCAAGATTCTGCGGCCTTGAGAACTCTTTTCGCGGCATGCATTATGCAAATAACTTAGCCGCCAATTATTAATGCCAATTTGGAGTCGAACACGAATTCAAATTCGATTGTTTGCTGGCCTTTTTGACAAATGTTTGCATAAAATTAAAATATTCATGCGACTGCAGTGCAAAAGTGGCCAAAATAAGACAATGAATTGGCTAAATAACTTCTAATTGTTAGGCAAATAGCCAATAGCCAAGTTGCCGCAGGCGAGCGAGTACGCAAGTCAGGTGCCAAGTTAAAAAAAGCACCGAAATGTGTTAAATTGTACAACAATGAGCTGAATGTTTGGACAAAAAATAGCTGGCCGTTAGGCGAGTGCGTCGAAATCGAAAGGGGACAAAATTTACAAGCCCATAATCACCTTTTCGGCCATTGTGTTCCGGTCGAAACACGCGACGATCATCAATCAAATGGCTCAAATAATGCCCGCTGTTTACCGTTACCATTTCGTGGCCCTTTTCGATTTCGGGTTTATTTTTTTTCGATTTCTTGGACTTGAGATCTCGGATCACTTTCAACGGGTGCCGGGTCCCCAAACTTGACCCTGAAAGCCACCCACAAAAGGCAGCTGTCACATTTATGTTGCAATTTGCATTTGACCCCCAAGCGAAGCGAAGTAATTGTTGCGCTTTCATTACACTTTTTTCCCCTCTTTTATTTTTTTGAGGGGCCTTAAAGCTGAATCGTGCCGAAACGCGTTTATATTAATTTCGGGTCGCTTATTTAGGTTTTTGCCAGCTTTTTCCGCTGATGGGCTTTAACACTTCGCTGGCCTTTATCTGGGCTTTTGCATCTGACTCAAACTGGCAGTCAACGAGCCGTGTAAAGAGCGTGAGAATATTATTAAAGATTATCAAATAGAGTCCGAAATAATTCTATTTTGTCGCTCTGTTATTCTGTTGTCGCTGTTTATTCTAGCAATTTCCGCAGTTTTAGCTCTGATTGCTCCACTTGTCATCCCTCCTCCGGGCTAAAATCTAGAATCTAGAAAACCCCTCCCCAGGTCAGCCACATCCCACACCCAGTCCACAAACAATGGCCAAAACTCATTGGGGGCCAAAGAGAGAAACAAGGCAAACTACTCGCACAATCGCACTGGAAGATGGTGGCTATCTGTGTGTGAATGCTCCAGTTACGATTCCGATTCCAATCCAAGTCGAAATCCCAATCCAAACTCGAAAGAAGCCACGCCAAATTCGACTCGGGGAGAAAGCAAATACCAGATACCAAATACCAAACACCAAACACCAAAGACCAAAAACCAAAGGGTCGTGATGATAAGCAATCGCATGTCGTTTTTATGAGTTACTCGCCCAAACTAATTGGGTCAACTCGAAAACAGACCGACGGACATCGCTGGTCTACAGTGGATATTCTCGAATCAAAGATGCTAATTTGGTACACAGAAACAAATTTGAATTTCTTTGGTTATTAATTAATTAAATGAATAACCAAGAGTGTTTCCATAAATAAAATGAAAGGTTTGAATACATTTTTCATACTTTTTCTATATACGAAACAAATCAATAAGCCTTTTGTTAACTTGAAAAAAGTATTTAAGACTTTAATTTGTTTTTTTTTTTTTGTTGTGTAGATAATGCTATTGCTGATGCTTAAGTTAAATTTGTCGTCATTGCCGAGTATAGCTGGCGGTAATCTGGGGATTTATGGAGCATAAAAAGGCTTGTTTAATTTCGTTAAACTCCAGTAAAATCGGGCACTTAAAGTTCTGATTTGCAGGGCGAGGCGTGGTGCCATTTTAACGGCCCGAAAGCAACAGTGGCTCCAAATTGAAACCGAAACAGATATGGCATACTATATGTAGGAGCCCCAACTGAAAACAGTAACAAAGCTGTGTGACAAATGCTATTTGCATATGCATATGTGCGGAATGATATATGGCCCTCCATATGCATGAGGAGGATTTTCCTGGCGCCGACTTCAGGGCCAAGTCCTTAGCCAAGTGGCTGCTATGGCGAAACTTAGCCGAGCCATTCATTAAGGCCCAAGTTTGACTGGGCAGCAGCTCATTGGCAATGCAACTGGCATACTTGCAGTTTTTAGCCACTGCAACTGCTTCTGTTACTGTTGCAGTGGCAATTTACAATTTGCAATTTGTAGTTTGTAGCTTGTAGCTTGCTTATCCGATCACTTTTGCTAATTCGCAGCACATTCGAGGCGCCAACAACAAAAGATAGCAGGGAACATTGGAACGTGGCGCCAAAACAAGAAATCATTGTGGAAAGCGATTGATTTTCCATAAGTAGCCGTGGTCCGTAGTCCGGAATGATTCATGAATGGCATTTCGCATTTCGTGTACTTAGCCATGGGAAAGGCACTTAACCGTAATTGCCTGCGCCGTCTGGGGGTTCCGTTGAGTATCTGAGTTCCTGAGTTTAGCCAGTCTGAAGCTGATCACGTAAAGGCTTTATTGGTTTTTAACAAGATCGTTTATGGAGTATCTACGGGAGCTCATAACTGGGTGATTAGGAGTAGAACCATGGTTCACTTAGTTCAAAATATCTTTGAGTTATTATGGTACTTAATAATTGGCAAATAAAGAGGAGTTTTAATATGATTGCTACATATAGACTTAGAGTATTAAGGGCACCAGTCTAATATGCTAATTGAAAGCCAAGATTTGATATACAGTCGACTCTCGTTAATTCGAAACTCGAGGGACTCTTGAAATATTTCGAATTATCGAGTGTTTGAAATATCAAATGGTTCGAAATTTCGAAATTTTCGAAAGAACTTTGTTATACTGGCTTGCTTTAAAGCACAATTCTGCTGCTCACACTGCTCAATAACTTTTTTAAGAGAAAAAGTGCCTGAAATACTTTTTCATCACTTTCATTTTGTAGACATATGTAAGCTTTGTAAGGTATCAAATGAGGATCTTGCTTCCTTAACTGACACCTCTGCCAAAGGTTCTTTATACTTTCTAGGGCTCATAGCTAACACTAACTTTTAATATGCATACCAACGAAAGAGTAACAGTAACTGAATAACTACACAAACCAATTCGTAAGAAGTGTGTGCGTCAAAAACTACATAATCAAAACAAAAACAAAGGCAAGTTTGAACTTGTCGCAAAATTTTTCTCTGCAACTTTGAATTGTCGAGTGTTAGACGCTGATGAGTTCGAATTAACGCGTGGTTTTGTTAAATATCAATGATTTTTTCGTTCGAATTACCAAGTGTATGAAAATGCATTGATTTAGTTCGAAATATAAAGAGATTTCGTAGGGACCTCGTGATAACTTTGATTTATAGAGAGGTTCGAATTATCGCAGGTTTGAATTAACGAGAGTCGACTGTATATCCGAATCACGAGTGAACTGGGTTCAACTGCTAGTGTGGATAGTCTGGACTTGGGGGAACCTAACCTAAACCTAAACCATTGTTAATCGGGGGCGAGGGTCAGGCTGACTTGGATGACTTGATTGAATTCGCATTGGCGCTAGAGGAGGCTCATAAGAAATGCAGCTGGCGTAGGCCAAGTTAGATGGAGCGTGGTTTGGGCAACACGACTGCGACAAAGGAGCCTCAGTACTCAGTACTATGGCCATTCGGCCATTTGGACACGGGGACATGGGGACATTTGGCCAGCCGAGTGACAAGCCGCTTGTTATGCACGAGCTGCGTTCTTGTCTGGGGCACATTAAAGACACATGAATGGCCCGGCAATAAATATTATTAAAAATGTTTGCCTTTATGGCATGCTAAACGCGATGGCAGCAACAATTGCGACACTAAGCCGACCATAAGCCTATTATTTAATTTGAGAAGAGCGTTGAAGGGGGAAGTGGGTGGTGGTGGCGGTGCAAATGAACTTTTAAAGCGCCCGGAAAGTAGACAACAATAAAGAGATTCGCAGACAAGTTCGCAGGACGAAGTGGAAAGGAGGTTGGATGCTGGATACTAGAGGTTGGAGGAGGAGTCGCGCCAGCATCATCAGTCATCACCCTCGCTCGAAGGCGACGACTGAATTTCGGTTTTCCGCTCTCGATTTTCCCTTTTTTCGAGGGTTGCAAAGGCGAAAATATTCGCCAAATACAAGTAGAACCCGCCAGCCGAAGGAAGACACTTTATATTTTTTGGCAAACAACAACTGAAACAGACGCAATTCGTTACGGTCAGCTACAGATACTTGTACTGATACGCAGCCCGTAGACGAAGACAAAATGTCTGAGGGGGGAGTGGAGATACAGATAGAATATGTATAGAGATATCTGTACACGCTTCGGATAAAGCAGCAGGGTTGCCAGCCACGCTCGTTTTGCGAAGGGAATGTTCCAAAGGTCAAGAACCGGAAACTCTGTAATTAGGTAAACCTAAGAGAGTTTTGCTTGATATATTCTGGAATCTACTAGCAGGAATTGGAATCACATAAATTTTAGGTATATAAAGAAAATAAGTGAATTAAAACAAGATTTTTAGTTCTTTTATTTTAAATTAATTAAATATAGGAGCTATGAATCAATACAACAAGTTTAAAGCTTGATTGCCCTTTAAAGTGATTCCCTCCGTTTAAATCTTGCCAAATTTGACATGCTGGAAATTGCTGGCTACTCCGAGTGAGCCACTTAGCTAATCGCTGGTTGGCAACACCATCTCGTTGGCCCCTTCCCCGGTCACTTGGCAACAGCGTCGGATATTTGATGGCCGAGAAGACGACAAGCAGCGGCAATTGGTCATGGCAAAGTTAACATTTTCTGGAAATCAATTTACGAGCTGCACTTTCATGTTAAATCAATTGAACTCAGGCGTGCGTGGACTCGAGTGGAGTGGAGTGAAGTGGAGGGGAGTGTCACTGCTGTGGAATTCTGGATTTCTGAAATTGCTGCTGGCCAGAAGTGGCGAAGACATGCCGCCGGTGGCGCAGGAACCGTTAGTGAGTCACGGCCCAGTGCCCGCAGCTCATCCCGCTAACAAGGCTAATTGGTCATGAAGCCTCTCTGCTCGCGACACTCGACTCTGGACTCTCGAATCCTGTTTTTCCACTGCTTTTCCTCTGGAATTCATCCTACTGGCTACTGACTTCCTGTCCACCCACCTGTCCACGCGGTGTGACACCTGTCACATCGCACAATGGAAATCAGTCGAGATTGTCGCCTGGCACTTGGCCCAAACGAATCACTTCTGGCCGGGCCGAAACTGTCGCTGGCTATTTATTTACTCAAGCGTTGGCCCTGGTTGTCCTGGTTTTTTGGTCTGGTTTCGCTGCTGCTCCTGTGGTCCTGTGATGGATGGCACTTGCCGACGAGGATTCCCATCTGTGGTCGGGATAGTGTTGCATGCAGCACTGAGCAAAAAAAAGTGGATTGGGTGCGGTTAGCTGGTTGTGGAAACTCCAAAAAGTGAGTTCATCGCAAGAGGATTTCGATCTGCGTTCAATTAGCCATTCAGCCTTAATGGTTAATGGTTTTAATGACGCGCGACAGGTATTCTATATGTGAGACATGATTCACAGCCAGACAAACGAAATTCCCAATCTGCTCTTTCGCTTTAATTCCGGGGAAGTGAGAAGTGAGGGCAACGCACAAAGAAGTCGAACAATAAACCAGGTTTATTTTTTTATTCACCCTGTACCATTGAGGCAGAGCCACCCACAATGTCACTATTTCTCCACCCTCTTCTCCTGACCTCCGACCCCCGCAGACGCCGCCTGTCAAGGCTCTTTCTCCTCCCCCTCTCCTCCCCCTTCTGCCAATCCTTTCTCCCCGAAAGCGCTTTGCATGTCCGGCATTTCGCACCAATTGCCATTAAATTTGCACGTATAAAGCGAAAATGCCAAAAATATTTCACGACAACGAGACGGCAGCAACATCAGAAACAGCATCAGAAGCAGAAGCAGCATCCCAACAAGAACTTCGGTCGCAGTTCAGAGCAGAGCAAACACACACACGCAACACACACAACAACAACAGCAACAACAACAACAAGAACAACAGCAACAACAACAACGGGCGACAATCGACAAAAGTTGGCAACACGTAGTCGGGATTGGCTTTGTGAGCACTGAGAGATAAAGTAGCCTTGAAGTATTCTAAAGGTTTAGATAAGAATTGCTTTTATAAATTCTATTAATTTGTCATCTTTAATTTAAGGATCATTAAAGAATAATTTAAAACAATTTATGAAAACCATGTTATCAGAAATACTTTAGATACTTAGATGAGAAATTAGTTGAATGAGTAGTTCTTTATCTAACAATACATAGCTTACCAAACAATTCGTCATTAAGATTCTTTATAGTTTGTTATCAACAGATGTCAAAACTGACTGAATAAAAAAGTTTAATAAAGTGAATTATATTGCAATAAATCTACTGGTTGAATAAAGTGAATGTAGAACCCCTGTTTTAATGAGATTAACCTGCGTAATCCCATTTTTTTGAGTGCTCTGCGTTTCGAGAAGCGTTCCGACAGCCGGGAGCGGGTGGTTTTTATTCCTGGCTTTTCTTTATGGCTGCTTCAGATGCTGTGCGCTGCTCGCTGTTTGTTGCTTTAGTTGCTGTGGTGATTGCTGTTCGGTTCCCTCCATGCTGGCAATGCGACAAATTCCGCGCTCAAATGTTCGACACGCGCCGGCGCAGTGGCCAAAAAAAGGAGCGCAAGGAGCGAAGGACCAAGAAGCTGGAAAGCCGGCGGCCAAAAGGATGCCGGCAAAGCGGAAATGTTCAGTTCATTAGCGAAACGTGCGCGTCGTGTAATGGACGTGCCGGCTCCCATTTAGCCCATCGAATCTTCAAGTTCAAACGGTTGGTAGCACTCGCATTTGGCTTTTTGGCTTCTTGGCCAACTCATTCTATCCCCAGCGAGTGTAAAGTGAGTGAGTGAGGAGAGCGCGCGCGCGACTTCTATTTTGGCCAGCAGTGCTGGGGGAGACAAAGCCAAGTGCGAAATTGCCAACTTGCCAACTTGCCAAGTCGGCGTCGAGTAATTAAATAATTAATTGAACCGAACAAAGGAATTTCGCAACGCTAAGCGAAGAGAAACAATTAACCGGGCTTAATTATGGGAAAGGTCAATACTCAGACGCAGCGAGTCACGCACTTTTGCCAGGGAATCGAGGAACCCATGGAATCTATGGAGTCTATGGTGTTGGCCGAGAACCGGTTGGCCATATTTGTCGTGTGTGCCTTGTTTAATTAGAAGCTGGTCGACACCTGTACTCCAAATGGCCGGAGCAGTGGATTTTGACTGGGTTTACACCAGACCTCTGATTTGTTTTCCCCTTTTTTTGTTGTATTTGTTTTTGTTTTTTTGTCTTTTGGCTCAAACCGCAAAGAGCCGCTTGATGGCCAACTGACTGACTGACTGCCGCCGCAGCAGCAGCAGCAGCAAACAGCAAGAGCAGCAGCAGCAGCAGCAGCCACTACAGCATCATCATCATCATCGTCATCGTCATCTTGGCCAATTCTTCTTCTTGCCGGGCTTTTGGCCATGGCCAAGACCACGAAGTGGCCGCCGAAGACCAAGAACTTGCCGAGTTGAAGAGCGTGTGAGCCGAGAGTCGAGAATCGAGAAGTTGGCCCAAAGTTACATGCTCGCCGCCGCAGTCGGCGTCGCTGTCGGCGTCACGAAAGCCGGCTTCGGGCAGCGACCGCGCTGCAGCTGCGACGCCAGCCGCGACGTCGACAGCAGCGTAGCGAGATCCAATTGATGAGCAGTTTGCTCAGAGCATTTGAGTGTATTTGTGTTTGTTGCGGTCTTTTTACTCCGCCGCTGTTCTTGAGCGCTCTCTCTGCGACGCGTCGCTCTCTCCGCTGCAAGTTGTTGCTGCTGGCGCTGCTGCTGCGACGCCGTCGCCGCCGCCGCTGCCTCTGCGCGCAGCGACAGCGGGTTGCTTCGTACTTTTGATTTTCAAAAAAAAAAAGAAAAAAAAAGAAAAAATCGCCGCTCTACGTAGGCTATATAAATAAGCAGCGAGAAGCTATTGGGTCCGAGTCTCTTTGAATTTTATGAAGCGGTTGTATCTTGGTGGTGCCCCAAGCAGCCGCAACGAACCGCCAACAGAACCTCAGTTGGCCAAAACCATTATTTTGCCTTTTACCTCCAGTGGACACAGCGGATTACCTTTGCCCTAAAAACCAACAAAAAATCTAAAAACGCAAGAAAAACTGTCAAGTGAATCCGAACAAACATCGAGTTGAAAAAACCCACAAAGTGCGCGAAATGTTGAGCTACGTGTAAAAGCGATTTAAAGGATCCTATCTATAACTCTGTGAGATACAAATCAAAGATACAAATCGGGAAGAAAGTGGCTAGTGATCCCATTGAATTCTGAGAGTTCTAAACGACGAAAACCGTTCTGTTACTTGAGTGAAAAAGGTGAGTTTCGTCTGGATGGTGTCCTTGTCGCAGGACATTTTGATATAAAGTGGAAAATCAGATTTCGCTGAAAATTTATGTGAAATTAAAAGTGCTGAAATGTTGAGGAAATATTTTTTAATTTTAAATAAATATTTTTTGGAAAAAAAGCTGACTGATATTTAAAACTGTAAAGTTCGCAAGGATTTTTATAAATCTTAGAATCTTAAAATTCACCTTGTCAAATTTATAAAAAAATTTTATCAATTCTCAAACAAATTAAAAATAATTTTGAGAATCTGTAAGCCAAATATGAAGAAAATACTAATTTCATTTTCACTTAAACTCAGATGAGTTCAAAATAATTTATAAATTATAATTTATAATTTAAAATAATTTCACCATCTTTCATTTATTTTTCAAGTCATTAAGTTTTTATGCATTCTTGTTAAACAATTCTTTCGAAATTGCAACCACCAGATCCTTAGCGAAATTGAAAAATGACTAACGTCGCTTCAGTAAATTAAAAATAACACTGTGCCAGCTTCCATGGCTAATAATAATTAATTTACGGACGATTTAAACCGGTGTTATGCACATGTGAGAAGCGTTGCGCAATTGTTTAAAGCCCGCTTCAGTAATTATTCATTTCCGCGACTTTTTCCCCCATTAGGTTCTTTCGATCGATTGAGAATTCAATTCCCCAGCAGAACTGGGGTGTCAACTCTTTATAGGGCAAAACCAGACCTCCCATTAAGGCCATTTTGCAAAACGGTAACCGAAAAGAGGAAAGGGGAGGGGCAGGGGGGTCACTGCAGTCGCTTTAATCTTTACGGCTGGCAATTAATAAAAATTAATTTGCTTACAACAAAATTAAAGCGAGAGCCGAGCCAACCAGGCGTTAAAACGGCCTCAAAGTTATTCATTCATAAAAAAGGAGGTTCGGCGAGGCTCGACGGCTGCTGGTGCAAATTGCAGCCATTCAGTCGGTGGCTGGCCAAGCTCATTCATCCACAACTGGCTGCTCCACCGCACCACCGCACCACTGCACCATTGCACCACTGCACCGCTAACGTAACTGCCACGCGCCGCGGAACAGTCTGCCTTTTGGCCTTTTGGTCTCTTGGCCACGGCCATTGTGCAAATAGTTTCCGCATGCACAGGCAAAAATATGCTTCCAAAATATTAAAGAATTAAGGTAATAATTCTTAAATGTATAATGAATGATTTCATTATAGCTAAAAAGGTATCAAATTGTTTCCAGAACAATTCTAGGGTTCTTAAAAATGTATTTAATATTTTTTTAATCATTTTTAGTCATGCTGCATTCAATATTGCAGATATTTTCCCTTCGTGCTTTTAGCCTTTTAGAGGCAAACATTTGCAGAGTACAGCACTAATTAGAATTTATGCCCACACCAACTGGCGCGGAGCTTTAAATGGCCAACAGGCCAACAACGTCGACATTTGTCAAACTCGTAAAAACTAAAATTGCCCGAATGTAAAAGCTTTTAGTTAGCCATAAATAATACAAACTATGCTGGCTGGCTGGCTGGACCACGAGAGACCCGGCGAGACCCATGAAAAAGCCGCCTGAAACGAAAGCCAAAACGATATATTTATAGTAGTTACAAGTGCACAGGATGGAGGGGATCCTGTTGGAGGTCCAGGTCCTGTTCCATGGATTCCTGCTCCCTGCTCCCTGTTCCCTGTTCCCTGTTCTCTACTCCTTTTGGCCGGGGGCCCAATAAAAAATGCAAATAAAACGCTGCCGCAATATGTGACCATCGGACCCACTCCCCTTTACTTTTTATCCCCACTGGCTGCTGGCTGGCAAACATTTTCAACCTGAAATGACTTTGAGTGTTATTTGGTTTGCCAGAGATTTCATTGGCAGCTGGCCAGAGTTCGGAGTCTGACGTTTGAAGGGCCCTGACCATGACTGGACTCCACACAGCAGCAGGTGTTTGGTTGTGGCTTCCTTTTTTTTCCAAAGAGAGATGAGGATGGGGAGCCATGTAAAAGTGTCCCCTGGTTGGGAAATAGTGTGATTTATAGACAGGGCAAATTTTGACATTGGGTTTGTCTGCAGCGGCGCCAGCAGGAACACAGAATCGGATTTATTGATGAGCCAACAGGAAACATGGCCAATACGAGTTTCGGAAACGGAGTCTAGTTGTAGTTGTCGTTGTATTTGTATCTGTGGCCAAACCATTCCGAATTCGTTCTGTGGTTTCAGCATTTTTCGCAGATTCCCTTGGAACATCTGCTGGATGCTGCAGCGTTTTAATTAAAAATGCCTGAAATGTCTCTCGCTTTCTCGTGGCGAGTCAGGCAGTGCCAATAATGACATAAATGCCTCGACTTAGGGCACTTTAAGTCGACTGTGGTTTCAACTGCGGTTGCGGATTGAATAAAAAACAAAAAAACAAGAAAAAGCGAGCCGAGTCTTCAATGTGCGAACTTCCGTTGCCACCGGGCGGAAAAAGTCGGATTGGAATAGATGGATAGATAGGCAGAAACTTTGTTAGAACTCCATCACTCAGGGGAGCGAATCGCAAAGTTCGACACTTTTGTGGCCGAAGATAGAGAGAAGTTTGCGGACTTATCGCCGGCTCACGCTGCGTATGCTCAACTTCATCCACGTGAGGGTTTGATGAACTGTATTTTATGGTAACTTACTGTAACTTGCGACTTTCCACATAAAGTCACTTTCAATAACATATTAATTCGTGGCTTCAGGTTCAGGTTGCTTTCTTTGCGACTTGTTATGCTGATACGCTATACTATAGAAATTATCATAACAATTAAAAGCCAACAAACTGCAGCCGAAGACGCTTCCCAAACTTTTTATAGTATTTATTCGGCTTCTTGGGCTCTTTAGCGTGTATGTTAATTTATTTTAATTTTTCGCGTCTCTTGGAAAGAAAGATTAAAGCAACTGCGGAGGACAGCTCCCTCCGCGTTCTTCTGCCGATGCGAAATGCGCAGAAAAAAGTCTTTAAAATATTTAATTGGCTGGCATGGAGCTACTATTTTAAGTTATGATGCGGGACCGACACACCTGAGCTCTGACATCAGCACACCAAAAGAACACACCAGCCACATCAAAAAAAAAAAAAAAAAAAAAAAAACATCAGAATGAAGAAAGGAGCCTCCGAGAACCCGACAAATTACATAATGATAGGCTGGTCCAGGCTAATGTCCCATTGTTGGGCCCCCATTTTGCTGAATGCCCCCCAAAAAAAAAAAGACAAGCCGGGGGAAAAATGTATAAAAAGACAGGAGGGAGGAGCCTCTGTCGCCCCATCGCATCGCATAATTTAATTAGATCCCCTGTATGCAAATCATGCGACGAGTATGTGCCGCGCTAATTGAGTGAAAAGCTGTGCGAAGGCCTAATGAGCCGTCACTCGGGTCATGCATCTCGTATCTGGATCTCCCATCTGGAATCGGGAGTCCGCAATCCGGAATCCGGCGAATGTAGCCTCTCCGGCGTGACTGTCACACTCGGTTATCAGTTAATCCGATTACGGCCGAGCTGGTGAACCCCTAACACACAGCGACAGGTCCTGTCGATGGCCAATATCACTGGCTTTTGGCGAGGGTTTATGGCCTTAAATATGCAGAAATTATGCCAGCCTTTAATGGATACAACAAGGCAGATGAAAGATTTATTTAGCTTTTAATTGGTGATGCTCTTATGCTTCCTACACAATTTAATATTAATAGAATTAAATTCTATATTTCCTATTAAATGTATTAAATAATTATAATCATAATTCGTTACCAAGGGCAAACAAATTTTATAGCAACCTTTAATTTAATTAAAGAGCAGCTAGCAAATGAGAAATAATCTCAAAATAAACTATGATACACCAAATCAATAATCACAGCAAATCATCTTCGGCAGCTCTTCAGCTTACCAAAATCTATTTGCTTTGTGAGTTAGTTAATTTTTAAAATTAGACAAATGACAAATGTGTAGCCTAATGGCTTTATACTTTTCTCAGCCCCTGATAAATGTATATCACCATCCATTAGCGGCTTGAAATATTATCTCTCATCTGGAGATAACCAGAGATGCATGTTCAAGCGATCGCACAAATTAAATTATGACGCTGGCAATATATTTGTTTCTTCGCCCATTTTCACCTTGGGCATTTTCTGCGCATTTCGGGCAGCCCGCAATTCAAAGATACACTTGAACCCAAACAAATTCAAAACGAAACCAAAACGAAACCAAATCGAAACCAAACCAAAGTAAAGCAAAGCAAAGCAAAGCGAACATCATTCCCGCCAGCGAGTTTTTGTGATTTTAAAGTTTAATTGAGTAAATCGGTTTATGTGCGGCATTAGCATTGTTTGGCTGTTCGGTTTCCATGGGCCAAGCTCGCCGGCAAAGAAAGTAAGCGCAACTAAGCACATTACGACTAAGCGACGACACTTGTCTCGCATTACGCCCAAGTAGCCAGCTACCCAGCTACCCAACTACCCAGCTACCCAACTGGCTAAGAAGCCAAGTAGCCAAGGTTGAATCGTGGTCTAGAACCAGGCAGCTGGTGGCAAGAACTCCAAGAAGTCCAAAGTGTGTCGTTTTCGTGGCGGGGCGCGAATTTCTCTAACCCAAATTGTTGTTGCCGCCGGAGTGCTCTGAAGTTGCGGCTGTTGCGATCTGGTTTGCAACACCGATGCTGCTTTCGAGTTCAATAGCCAAAGAAAGTCGGTAGAAAGAAAAAGTGTGCGGCGGCGAACGAGCGGAACCAAATGGCGACATAGATTCATGGTTGGTCATTTCAGCTTTTTAGCGAACGAATTCAGCGCCAACCCACCTGGCGTATGCGTAATGCCTGTTATCAGGCGAGCAAAATGCACTTGGCAAGTGCCTCTTAATGGCCACTTTTCGGGGGTGCTAATGCAACCCGGCAATTTGTGGGTAGGCCACAGGATAGGCGAGTCCCTGGCCAGTCATTTGGGCCATTCCGCGGTCCATTAACGTGTCTCGCAAAAGAGCTGGCAGG